GCTAGCACGCAGTACGAAAAAGTCAGCATAACGAAAATAAACTCCACCTAAACTTGGTTCATATCTGACCCAGATGGACTGCAGGTTATAACTTCTTGTGTTCAGTTCACCTGACACTCTCGGACCAGCGGCCGCTTCGGGTCTCTCCTCTTGCCTCCCTTTTCCCTCATCCACCTGCTGGCCTCCACCACTTGCTAATGTTATTGAATCTGTGGAAGCTCCGCGATAGCCACCACACGAAGTAACGAGTAACGAGCCTATCTAAATCCCAGTAACGAGTAACGCGTTCCTGGTTTTGGCATAATAACTAGTTACCGTGCTCGTTACCACAATAATAACGTAGTTACTGTAACGCGTTACTTAATAACGTGTTAGTCCCAAAACTGATTACAACTAAGTAGCTGCCGCCATTGTTGGAATTCAACTTTTGTGAGATCCCAAGACAGCAATCGCCTCATTGTTCAGACACACAACACAAAACCACAACACTACACACTTAACTACACAAGACAACACATTAACTACACACTTCAAACATGCTAAACGTCAAAAATCTCTCACATCTCAAAACTCTCTCTCTCTTTCTGCTGTCTTTATCTCTCTCTCTCTTCCTCTCGCCATCACTACTAAAACTTCCCCTCTTCCCTAAACAACCAAATGTCATGTTGCCATATCATTTTATGATTGGTCGACATGGTGCATTTTTCCACCAACACGAACAGGCTGTTTTTTGGTTTTCTTGGTCATAAGCAGAGAGTGCTTGCTGCGCTGTCCTTAGACAGTAAACGTGACGAAACTATTCAGGAAAAAACACCGTGTATATATTGTTTATCATGACTCTGGTTTTACGTGGCCTATCAACACAATTTAAAAACTGGTATATATCACCTTGTTGCTTTGTCATCTTAAAGTGGTCATGTGATTGGCTTACCACGACTACTTTATTCTTCCTCAGTCAAACAGCAGTACTCATGCGATTGTCTTGCCCCCTTAGCTCCAGGTGTTGTGCAAAAAGTGATCGTTGGGCAGAAAGTGATTGCCGTCGGCGGGAGCGCGCGCAGCTGCTTAAAGCTGTAGCGCCCAGATTACTTACAGTTACTTCCATGCAACTGATATAAAGTGCGGTAAGCTGAACACAGCTTCAACCGTCTGTTTGTTGAAAAATGGTCATTCTTAGTTTTACCATTCTTAGTAATGGTAACAGTGTTGCAATGATAGAAATAGTGATTAGTTTGATTACTCGTTACTGAAAAAAGTAATGCCGTTACTTGTAGTAATTCCCATCACTGTTCCCACTTTTCCACCTTTGATGTAAAGCGCTGCTACAGAAATCACTGCAGGAGTCAGAGCCACTCGGTCCTGATGCAGCAGGTTATTTAAGCTGTTCATTGTTAAAGTTTGTATTGTGCCAGCTTTAACATTGATTGTTGTTCTTTTGTCTACAGTGTTTCCCCCAGAGAAACAGGCTTTTTCAGACTCCACCATAATGCACATCATTTCATGCCGAATTTAAAGTGACACTCGAATGGCTCGTTTCTTGTGGCTCTTGTCATCCTGGTGGTGCCTTTCTTTCTTTTACACTTTCATTTCCAGCTCTAATGCCTTCTTTTCTTCTCCCCAATGTAAGCGAGACCCAGGACACTGACGGGTAAATGGCACCAAGAGATGAAACATCCCCTGTAGTATCCGCCTCCTGTTGTGTGTTTGTGTTCAGTTTCCTGCCAACATGCGGCTCAGCTTTTATTTGTGTCCGAGTTAGACTCACAGAGGGGGGATTATTTCCCCCCAAACTGTTCACACAGCTCAGTGAAAAGATCTGCACGGGGACCAAATAACTTCAGACAGGCGGACAGCTTCCTGTGAATCGGAATCGCGTTACAGGTGAACACAAGGAGCACAGATGCTTTTTCATGAAGTTTGTGACAGTGTCGGAGAAGACAGGTGAGCAGGGAAACAGGAAGACCTGTGGATACTGTAATTGTCAGGCTGCTCCCCCAATTAATTTGCCTTCCCCTGTGGCGTCTGGGGCTGTCACGGCCAATAACACGGAGGTGAGGCCTCAGCGGGAGCTCGTCCTCTAATCTCGGGAAGGATTCGCAGCTCCTCCTTCCTTCATCTGCCTGCCAGATTGCAACAAAGCAAAGAGTGACTTTTCTCAGTGTTTGAATTATGACAATGAGCAAGAATATTTTCACATGTCTGTACACTTGTTCTTACTTCTTAATAAGCAGCAAGAGCTGGACTCATGTCAGTAAAAATAAAATCAAACAACAACACATAACGAAGACCTCACAAACCTACGGCTGACTGACCGCGTCCCCTCGAGATTTTAGCCTCTTTAATCTGCTTGTTTTGGTTTTCAAGTCTTAAAGATGTTTTGAGCAGCCAGATGTTTTAGTCAGGGGTAGCTGGAGACCACAGACTGTACATAAAAGATGGAAAAAGGAAGCGCGTTATACTGGCGTTCATTCAGTTAGCCAGCCACGGAGGATTGCAGAAATACATGTGAATCACAGGTATTAAAAACAGTAACTTTCTACAAAACGAAGGAGTGACAAGAGTATTCAGTCTCTTATTTAAGGAAAAGTCATAAAAATATGTGTAGTACCTAAAATAAAAATACAGATTATGTAGAATCATAAATGTGATTTAGCTTTAGAGCGATATGTTACCATGCATGAGTACATTTGTTTTCAAATCTGTAGTAAATAAATAAATGGAGTGCAAAGTAGAGTGTTTACAACCACAATACAGCGGAGTAGAAATACTCAAACGACGTACAATAAAACTTATTTTAGTGAAGTGCTCAAATGGACCATGTGACTGGCGTTGGTAAGGGAAGCATGGACTCATTTATCTGTGACTGATGAGTCTGTGCCACTAGGTTGTTTGAATATAAGAAGTTTATTATTGTAATTATTATTGGATTCAACAAGACAAATAAGGTGGAAGGTGTGTTAGGGCGGAGATCACTACGCCTTTCCTTTATGTACAGTCTGTGGAGGAGACAAAAAACAGCGATAAAAGGGAAGTAAGTGTAAAACCAACCTGGTGATTTACAAGTTCCGGATGGAGAACCATCTCGCGGCCTAAAGAAGAAGTGCTTTCACTTCGTCAGTTCACTCAAAACAAAGAAATTCACATCATCGGCATTCTAATCGGTCCCATCTAACAAATCAGCTTATTCTCTGCTGATGATGATAGCGATGCAGAATATTGATGCAGCTCTATATTCTCTTCTTGTTTTTGAAGTGTAGCTTCAGATATTCATGCCTGGCATTTTAAAAGTAGTGTTTCTCAGTGCAACCTTTTAACTATGTATGTGAAACTCTTTCCCATATGTCGGCTCCTTTTGTCAAAGCTGTCCTTTAGTGTCTGTGATCCCACACACCGGTCATGCATACATGAGCGCAAACTCTGTCATTTTACAACCTGAGGGTTTACTGTGACCTGAATTATTCTAAACCTGAGTAGTTTTTATTGCCTAAATCCAATCAGAGAGTAACAAGCGAAACAGACCAGGCATCTAAAACACAAATGTGCCAATCGGAGATTTTTGCCACCTATGCATCCTCTTAATGCAGCGTTTGGAAGCCTTATAGTTGGAATTAAGTGAAACATCTGTGCAAATACAGAGGTGATGGAGCCGCCCAGCTACTCCAAAATACTTCCGATTTGCTAAGAAACTTGATCAGCTGAGATTCAACCTCAGGCTGGATTCAACACCTACAGAAAGAAATGACAAATTTACTGTCCATTTTAAAATTAATTTAAAAAAATCTAAATTAATCCTGCTCAGCCTCCCATTGGCTGTTGCAGACACACTCTAGCAACTGTGTGCAGGTGATTTACGTCAGGGGAAATTTTAGATGTGAGCAGCTTTAAAGACAGCGGATATTTCTGCCAAATCACACTCCGTAGCAGAGATCACGATGAAATCTGCAGCATTATGTTAAAACACGATGTTACAGGACTGACGAAACAAAAGCTGAGAAGCACAAAATCCCCATAACAGTCGACCTGTATTTGCAGAGTTCAGACATTTATTGATCAGCGCGGTTAGTGAGAAGATTCAGAGGCAGTATCTCCTGACCCTGACACAGCTCACCCTGTAGAGTCTCTGCCCCACCTACCCATGAAACTGAATGTCATCCCTCATCTGCTCCCCATATTCATGTCTGTTTTGCCATCTTTAAAAAATAAAAAGGATAATATTTCCTCTTTCAGGCCTGGAGGAATCTCGGTGCACTACTCTCTGGTCTTTGAGGTCAGTTCCCCTCAAATCACCTCTGAGATTTCAGAGAATGCGACTGACATGCCCAAGTCTTCCTCAGCCAACTCTGCACTCAGGGAAATGGTGACCAAGGCTCTGCGTGAGGAGGCGTCCCTTCCAGTCAACCTGGATTCAATTAACTTTGAACCAGGTAACGTCTCTCCACAGAGGTCACTCTTTGGTTTCATTTATATGGTCATCGCACAAATAAGTTGCGTGTAAAGATGGCATGGGCAACATCCAGCTACTGTGACACAGCTGTCCCAGATCGTCCTCTGTGATCCAAGCCCTTCAAAAGCTAAAAAATTTCTTCAGGACCTAAAGTTTTTTCACCCAAATGATTATTTAGAACATGTGAACACCGGCGTTGTTCAGTCTTCAACGAGAATGATGTTAGAACATTATTTTAATACAGAAGGATTCACAGCTACAGTCTGTAACCAAAAAAAACACCTTTCATAAAGACTTCTCCAGTGAATTCTCAGAAAACAGTCGAAAACGTCCCATCTGACACTTTCTTTTAAATAAGCCTCGTTTATCTGAATTAAAAATGAGGAACTGAATTAAAGAGCTTCACTTTAATTCAGTTTTGTACTGGCCAATTGTAAACATAGAAAACCTTAGATAATCAGGCTCCCAGGAGCTCTATGACATCAAATCAAATCAAATCAAATCACTTTTATTGTCACATCACATGTGCAGGTACATTGGTACAGCACATGTGAGTGAAATTCTTGTGTGCGAGCTTCACAAGCAACAGAGTTGTGCAAAATACAATAATGTAAACAAGCAAAATACAAGAATGGCTACATCTGAAACTAATAAATATATGTACAATATATAATAGTATATGCATTTCATTGTGGTTCCACTGAGAATTTTGGGCTCAGTGACACCTGGAGCATCCGGTGGAAACTTTTACGTAACTCCTGATTTGGACAATCAGCTATTTCTATTTAGTTAAAGCATTTAAGGCTTGGTGTATAATTCCACTACAAGATTTTGAGAAATATGAGTAACTGATTGGTTTTATCTGATTTCAACCTGCTTTTTTTTAATGTCATAGAAAAGATCCTCCTACCAGCATTGAGAGCCACCGCTTCAGTTGGAGTAATGAATCAGGTAAGACCATTATAATGGTTAATGAAACTGTAGTTGGCTTATTTTAAAGAGAGACCACCCCAGATGAAACCCCATAGAGCCTGCAGTGCTCTCTATCCATCACGTTCTATTAAATTGAAGACAACTGATCTCCAGAACTGTGCAGGTCACACTAGAGCAGTCTTTGTTTGTGCTGTCTTGTACAGCTTTCAGTGTGATTGGTAACATATTTAAATACAATCCTTAAGACTTAAATATTGTATATTAAAGTTGTCTAATAGTTGTTGTTTTTTTGTTTTGTTTTGTTTTCATTTTTGCCAACATGCCTTCCACAGTCTAGCGAGCCTGATTCACACAACGAGTTGGAAATTTCCACTGTGGAGCCAGAGTTTGACAAACTCTGGCCAGTAGTTTCCCTCACCCCCATGGAGAAGGAAAATGCCCTGGAGATCCTGCTTGACCCAACAGCAGTCCCAGATGATGATGCGACAGCAGTGACCAGTGGGGTGGCAGAGGGCAGCGATCAACTCCCGGGCTCGGAGGACGTTACTGATGAGTCGATTTATGTGAGTGAACCCGGGCCATTAAAGGAAGAGGGGAAGGGAGAAGAATTGCTGATCATTACACATGAGATTGAAACCATTCATCATGATGAAACCGGTAAACTTGTGCGAGACTACATTCCCACCCCTCCTGCGCTTCTTGAGCTGGAGACAGATGCTCCCTACGTCAGTTTGTCTCCTAACCTGATACCAGAGGGAGACCTGAGTCCTGTTGGTGACGACAGAGAAGGTCCTACATTGGACACTGTTCAGATCACCCCAACCGCTAATATTATATTCACTACAATTCCGGCTGCAAAGGAGGCGCCTGATGTTAGACTCCCCATCACAACACTCTCCGCCATAACAGACCAGCCACCCACAAAGCCAACAGTGATACTTCATGAAGACGAAGAAGAAAATGCTCTTCCAGAGGAAAAAGAGGAGATACATTTGGGTGTCTCTAAAACCCACGATGCTGGTGATATTTCAGAAACAAAGGATGTTTCAGAGTTGGAAAATGAAAAGGGCCTGCTCAAACCAGAAAGTGGGTTGGCAGTTGAACCTGATGAAGAAGTTTTGCAGGCAACTGTTGAAGTTTCAGAGACAGTTGATGGAATATCTGAAGTTTCAGAGTCAGCCAAAGAAGTATCTGATGTTTCAGAGACAGTCAAAGAATCATCTGAAGTTTCAAAGACAGTCAAAGAAGTATCTGATGTTTCAGAGACAATCAAAGAATCATCTGAAGTTTCAGAGACAGTCAAAGAATCAGCTGAAGTTTCAGAGACAGTCAAAGAATCAGCGGAAGTTTCAGAGACGGTCAAAGAAGTATCTGAAGTTTCAGAGACAGTCGGAGAATCAGCTGATGTGTTTAAACTAAAAGAAGTAGTAGCTGCAATTTCCAAGGTAGATGAACTTCAAGAACCTGACAAACTAGGAGCAACTGTTGCAGACCCTGATGAAAAAGTAGCTGAAGTATCAGTTGAAAAAGAAGTACATGGGGTTTCTGAACCAGAAAAAGAAGTGCCTGAAGTTTTAGAGCCAGACCAAGAAGTAGCTGAGGTTTCCAAACCACACAGAGAAGTGCCTGAAGTTTCAAAGTTAGAAAAAGAAGTATATGAGGTTTTTGAAAGGGATAATGAAGTGCCTGAAGTTTCAGAGCCAGTAAAAGAGGTAACTGTAGTCTCAGAGCCAGGTCATGAAGTAGCCGAGGCCTCAAAACCAAATCAAGAAGTATCTGGGCCTTTGGAGCCAGATCAAGAAGTACTTGCGCCTTC